GTATACTGCACAACCTTCTTACGTCTTGAATATTCAACTGTATGTGTACATGGTAATACATTACATAACATTAGACACAATGAAATTCATAATTAATGCAGTAATAAAACAATAAATATGTGTAGCTTAAGCAATGTACCTGACTTGAGTCAGTTGGAACTCAATCTCTCTATCAGCCTTCTGCCACACTATAGATTAAAGAGTTCAACGAAGATATGATAAAGACCTTTGAGATGATCGACCTTGAAAAAATGAGATATTTTCTCGGCATTGAGGTAACCCAAGAAGAAAAGGAAATATTTACCTCTCAAAGGAGACATACAAATAATCTACTAAAGAGGTTCAAGATGGACGGTTCCCTTTGGTTGTGAACGAGAAATTCAACAAAGATGATGATACCTCGAAGACAGACTCATCCACATACTGAAGCCTAATTGAAAGCCTACTATATCTAAAGACCACAAGACCAAATACCAGGTACGTGACAAGTTTATTTTTGAGATGTATGCAAATTCTGAGCCAAGTTCACTATGGAGTTGCGAAAAGAATATTATGATATTTGATGGGTACTAAAGACTATAATCCAATACGAATATAATGAAGACTCAAGATTGATTGGCTACACAGACAGTGCATGGGCTGGATCAGCTAACAACAGGAAAAGTACCCTAGGCTACACATTTTCACTTGGGTCAAGCATATTCTCGTGGTTATCCAAAAAACAAGACTATGTGGCGCAATATTCAGCATAAGTTGAGTACGTCACAACAACACTAACGACAACAACAACAACAACAACAACAACAACATAGCCTTTTAGTCCCAAGCAAGTTGGGGTAGGTTAGAGATGAAACCCAAGAGAACCAATGGTAAGAGAAACACAAAAAGGGCTCAAAACAAAGGAAGAGATTGGAGCAAAAGAGAAAAGAGAAAAAGTCACGGTTCTGGCACGCTGATTGCTATCCTCCAAGTGCTTCTATCCACCGCTAAATCCTTGGAGATATTCCAATATTTAAGGTCTCTCTTAACCGACTCTTTCCAAGTGAGTTTAGGCCGACCTCTATCTCTCTTAACATCATCGACCCACTGTAGAACTCCCCTACGCACCGGTGCATCAGGAGGCCTCCGTTAGACATGTCCAAACCACCTCAGCCGATGTTAAACCAATTTCTCCTCAATTGGAGCCACCCTGACCCTATCTCGAATATCCTCATTCCAGATTATATCCCTTCTTGTATGCCCGCAAAATCAACACAACATACGCATCTCTGCTACACTTAGTTGTTAGACATGTTGCCTTTTTTGTAGGCCAATATTCAGCACCGTATAGAATCGTCGAGCGAATCGCCGTCCTATAAGACTTATCTTTTAGCCTTTGTGGCACACTCTTATCACAGAGAACGCCCGAAGCTTGACGCTATTTCAACCATCCGGCTGCAATTCTATGCCTAACATCTTCATCAATGCCGCCATCCTTTTGTAGCATCGAGGAAAGTCTCCTTCTTGGCCACCACTTGCCCGTCAAGGCTAACGTCACCATCATCATGTGTAGCCATGATGAAAGCGCACTTCATGTACTCGGTCTTCGTCCTACTAAATCTGAAGCCTTTCGACTCTAATGTGCCCTTCCACAGCTCTAACTTCCTATTTACCCTTGTCCTACTCTCGTCAACTAGCACCACATCATCAGCAAAGAGCATACACCAAGGGATATCACCTTGTATGTCCCTTGTGACCTCATCCATCACCAAGGCAAATAAATAAGGACTCAATGTTGACCCCTGGTGTAGTCTTATTTTAATTGGGAAGTCACTGATATCGCCCCCACATGTTCGGACACACGTCATCGCATCTTTGTACATATCCTTGATGAGAGTAATGTACTTAGATGGGACTTTGTGCTTTTGTAAAGCCCACCACATGACATTCCTTAGCACTCTATCATAAGCCTTCTCAAGGTCGATAAGGTTTATGTGCAACTCCTTCTTTTGGTCCCTATATCTCTCCATCAACTGTCGTATTAGGAAAATCGCCTCAATGGTCAACTTTCCAGGCATAAACCCAAATTGGTTTTGGGTCACACTCGTCACTCGTCGTAGGCGATGCTCGATAACCTCTCCCAGAGCTTCATCGTATGGCTCATCAACTTAATCCCACGGTAGTTACCACAACTTTGAACATCACCCTTATTCTTGAAGATCGATACTAAAGTACTTCTCCTCCTTTCATCAGTCATCTTGTTTGATCAAAAAATGAGGTTAAAAAGCTTAATTACCCATACTAACGCTCTGGCGCCCAAGCATCTCCACACCTGAATGGGGACACCATCAGGGCCCATTGCTTTACCTCCCTTCATCTTCTTCATAACCTCTCTGATCTCTGCCTCCTGAATTCTCCTCACCAAGCGTCTATTGGTATCCTCAAATGAGTCATCCAACTCCAGGATAGGACCCTCAATCTCCCCATTAAACAATTTGTCAAAGTACTCTCGCCATCTGTCCTTGATCTTTCCATCTGATATAGGATATTATCTGTATAAAGACGAGCCGATTTGGTGAGCCGGTC